AGGTCTAGCACAGGCGGCAATTTTCCCCTAATAAATCAATCACGTCTTCCCGCCGAGTGTTTTTTTCCCTTACAGTCATTAGAGATTACAATGCTACTTGAGGATCACCAGCAACTTGAATTAGTCAAGGAACGTCAATCAAATTTGCCAGATTTTGCTTTAAAGATGAGAAAAATCTGATAGATTCACAAAGGCCTCTTGTCTTAGAATAGGAAGCTTGATAAACCCTTGTTGAATCTCTCTTAGGGAGGCCTTGGAGTATAATGACCCATCTGGAAGAAAATCAAAATCAGTATTACCAGTGACAAAGCAGACAAAACCCAGAAACTCTCATTAAATAATCTAAAAATTAATAATTGGAATAATCAGCCATCTAGTGTCTCTAGGTAGTGAAATATTCTATAATGGCTAATAGGTTAGCACAGCAAAGAAAAAAAGAAATAATCTAGCAAATTTTAATTCTCTAACTTCCAAAAAATTTTTTTTTATTTAGAAGGGAATTAAAGGATCCTCTGGTCCATGCTTATCAAACTGCTTCTCAGAGCCAGCTCTAGGGTTGGGAGCGGGTGTTCTTAGGGAATAAGGAGCAAGGAGGTCCGGGGGCAGAGCTCCTTGACCTCTACTCCCTCCAGTATAGAAGCTCGATTTTTATCTCTTATTCCACTCAAGAGTTCAGTTGAGGAAATGGTTTCTCTGGTTTAAAATAATTTGAGAATCGCCTGTTTAGCTGAGACCACTCTTTTCATAAATGAGCACAACGAATGCCAGAGAAATTAAGGAATTCTTAATTTAGTGATGGCCCTGGAACCAGATCCTGGATCATGTCTTTCTCCTCAGTTCTCTTTCCACACCTTACTGTGCTGTCTTTCACTTGTAGGGAGCAAACCAGGTGAGGATTCCCATTCCTTTGAATTTGGGCCTTTTTCCTGCTTATGTTTTTGAATGACCATAGGGAAAAACCAATGAAGCCAAATCAGTGTGAGAAGAGGCATAAATGCTCTGTTGGAATTGCAATTGTCCCCCTTTCTCCAGGTGTTTCTAGTCATACTGAAGAATTATATTGTCACCAGAACCTGAAGGGGTCATGAGGGTGGAAAGGCCTCGTTCCACTTTCTATGTCACCAAATGTGTTGCTATTAAGATTGGGAGAAGTAAAGATTTCAGTCGGGTACTTGGTGAAAACTTGCTGACATTAATGACTCAAATTCTCAGAGAGAATGCAAGGAAAATGGTGTCATCACTGTCATTCAAGACATTTAAGATGAAATTTCAAAAGAAGGCTGTCAGGCATAATGCCTGCCAGGTTCCGTGCTATCATCCTCAGAGGGTGGATCACACACTACTATGCCGCCTGTGGGTGGTTGGTGTTGAAGATGGAAAGGAAGCTGCACAGAGAGGAGGTGAGGTGGGCGTAGGACCCAGGGGGGCTGCATCACAACCAGGAGACATCCCCACTGACATTCACGTGGTGACGTGGGGTAAATGTATGTTCCAGGGCCTCGTCTTTAGTCTTGGAGATGCTGAAACCTGACTCCATCAGGACATTTCGACAAGATCATGCTCTTGGTGCTGAACAAAATTCTGGAAGTTTGAGCTATAAATGGCAGTGCCCATTTATTAATTTACAGTGAGAGTATTCCTCTCTGGTGAGCGGATGTTCACGTCTGCACGCACTCCAGCACCGAGATGCCTGCAAACCCTAGTTCGTGATCAGAAGGCAGCTGTGTGAGAGCCCTGGGTCCCAACCTGAGCTGCATGTTGCAACCACCTGGGGTGCTGTAACACTGAGGCCACACTCTGAAATCAAATAACTCTGAATCTCAAGTAATAGGACCCAGACAGCAGTATTTCAAAAATCTCCTCCAGTGATTCCAGTGAGCAGCCAAGGCTGAGAACCACTGGGTTAGAGCAAAGAGGCCAGCCATCCGGCTGCCACGAGCCTTGAGGCCTCACCCTTTCCACACAGGGATCCGTGCTCCTGCATGTCATGGGCCAGTGCATTGGTTGTTTGTTTAAAATGGGAACAGATCAAGGTTTGCCAATTTTTTAATTTGCGAAGCAAGGACATTAAAAATTCAACTACAATTGTTTCATTAAAGAAAGGAAATCTTAATAACAAAAATTAGGAAGAACACAATTTCAGAATAAAAGATGAACTCACTATATTGTATTTATTCTTCTCATGTTTCTACAGATCAGAGAAAACTTCACTATAGACTGATACAAACTTGAGAACAGTGCAATCTAATTGCTCTCTGCATCCGTAGCCACGGCTTTTCTTCTCGGACCGCTTTAGATACATCTGGCTGGGTTTTAGTTCATTAAACTACTGTCCTCTGTTAACTACCCCTCTCTTACCAGATCTTTTCTGTAGAGAGATTAATAGTATTGATTATGTTGTAGGTAATTTCTGCTCCCAGGCTTGGAAATGTTCTGTCTCTCCCAATTACAGAATATGTTGATTTAATTAGCTTAGCTCTTCTCAGACATCTTAAACTGAGGTTTCTGGAATGGGTGTGGCACATGTACCCCCAGATCATCACTTGTTGGGGATGCTGGTACCCCCTTGTTTTGTTAATGGACAATGATAGCAATTACTCTAAATCCAATGGAGAATGCAGTGGGAGGGCAAATAACCTGTGATGAGTTGTTTATTCTGTGTGTCACGTTACATGAAATAACAAGACTGACTTCAATTGTAAACCTAATTTTGAGTGCCTCTTTGGAATCCTGTGTATGCCCCCCGTTTTGAGGGACATTGGCATTCTTGAATAGCTTCTGTACTTAGCTGTCTATGGTCAATAAGACAGCCTCTGGCAACTACTGAGAGAGGGTAACTGTGCCAAGAAGTCTAAGGCTATACCTCAAAGTTCCCTTCAAAGCTCACGTAACCTAGAGACTCATTTATGCCAACAACAGTGTGAAATAAATCTTCATTTATTAATTTCTCCTAAGCTGCCATGCTTAAAAGTGGATCAAGAGAACAGAAGCTAACATAAACATGTGCTTTTGACCAACTGGGAAAGATCTATTTTCAATTCTGTGTTCTCCAAGCACCCAAGATGTATAACTAACAATGGGCTCTGCTCTTGTTAACCCAGCCCAACCCAACCTGAAGGGTTTATCATCTCTTCAAGGTCAAGGCCTGCTTAGAATAACACATGACTGTTTATCACACATAAACCTCAGAATTAGAAGACCTGGATTTGAATCCATCTCCACTACACTCTTGAGCAAGTTGCCAGGCCTCAGTTTCCTTATCTATAAAATGGGGATACCATCATCATCTTCACCAACATCATCACCTTCACCACTATCATCTTCTTCATCATCACTTTATATGGTAACTGTGAGAATTAAAGAAGATAACTTAGGTAAAATACTTAGCAAGCTGCCTGACATACTAAATTCTAAGCAAAAGTTAAGAAATTTTGTTCTAAAAGTTAAGAATTTTTTGTAGGTTACAGCCTAACACGATAATGAAGCATATGATAGATGCCTTATATAAATTTCAGTAAACTCATAAACACACACACATGCCAGTCCCATATCTATTTGCAGAAGGAGGAATCTTATTGGAAATGCAGAATTAAAAAGCTGTCACTGAATTCTGAACTTTGGTTTTCAGATCTTGACAGTTTAACCAAATGCACTTTACTACTTAATCTTGCTCATGACTTTGTCTCTTGCCTCCCTAACAAATTACCTCTGCTGGGACCCTGGCTTTTCTGGGCGAATTCTTGGAGCCACCTCTCTGACCACAGTCCCTCTTCCCACGACAACGCCCTTGTCTTCTTTATAGATTCTGGTACTTCTTGAACCCAGAGCCACATCTCCTTGTTATTGTCCTGAAGCAGCCAAATGTTGTGAAGGAAAGCATGTAGAAATGTAGATATTTGCACCTGCATCTCCATACTTTTGTGCGCTAGGAAAAATGTGAATCAAATTCTCTATTGATACACTGATTCTAAATCACGGATCTAGGAGAAAAGGAGTTAGGAGGGCAGCCCTGGTGGTTGGTCTAGGGCACTTCATATCCACGCAGAACCCAATTCAGTTCAATATTTTATCCTCCTACAATTAACACTTTTCAAAATCAATTAATACCAGTAAATAGACATATGTTCTTTCTCTCTCTCCCAAAATTCCTCTTGTCCCACCGTCAGAAAAAGAAACACAAAAATGAAAACAGATCAATAAATGAACTTCTCAAGTTGCCGAAAACTTACCATAGGAGCCAAGCCTGTTTCAGAAAGTTTCAACTCACTCAATCAGACAAAAGGCTGGGG